CACCAGCTGACTTCGGTTTGTTAGATAACTTCGGAATAGATTAAGCGACAAACCCCTCGTTCCGAGATGTTCCAGTTTTCGAAGGAGTAGAGGAATCGAGACCGTGTCAAACGCCTTCGCAAGGTCAAGGAATACTGATAAGCACTTCCGACCCTCGTCCAAGCTACCAACTATACATTCTGTAAGGTCGTGTACAGCATTCGCAGTAGATCTTTCAGCCCGAAATCCGTATTGATGTGGTGACAGTAGGTTGTTGACTTCAAGATAATTCATTAGCCTTTTATTCATAATACGTTCTAAGACTTTTGATAAAGATGGCAGAAGAGAAATCGGTCTATAATTTGAAATAAGACTTCGGTCGCCCGCTTTATATATTGGCTTGATAACGGCTTTTTTGAAAGCATCAGGAAATACCCCTGCAGACAAACTCAACCTGCAAACATGAGTTATGGGTGGTACCAAAATATTTTTGTATAATTTGAGAATCGACGAGGGGATACCGTCCCAGCCTTTGGCACAGTTATTTTCAAGGACATCAATATGTTTTCAATTTCAGCCTCATCAGTATCAAGTAACCCAAATGACTTAATTACGCTATCTGTAAAGGGATTAGTATTAACAATGCCTTTATTATGAAGCAGTATTTTTTCTGCTAGTAATTTACCTATATTACCGAAGTAGTCATTTACATCATTAACCGAACGAGAAGGAGAATCTGACATAGTTAATAAGTTTGAAGAGTAGTCTTTAGGTTTATTCATGTTAATATTTCTTTTTATTACATCCCATAACTTCCTACTGTTTGAACCAGCAGCTTGGATTTCTTATCTTTGGTATTCACGCTTAACCTTTTTTAGTATATCATTACAGAAATTTCTGTACCTACAATAGGTAACTCTGAGGATACTGTTATCAGTGGAGAGTTTAAGCTTTAAGTGCATATTGTCACGATTGCGAATACATCGTAGCAATCCGATAGTAATCCACGTTTTATAGTTCTAGCGCGCCGGGGTAGTCGTAGTAATTTAGCATTAGAGATTAAGGCTTGGGCTAAAAGACTTACAAGGAGATTAGCTGCAATATTTGGGTCGTCTGATGTTAATATCGGGATAAAATCAAGTGAGCTCATTGACGCCTCCAAGCCAGCATGATCAATTTTAGATATAGTCAGAGGGACACTTTTTGGCTGTTTAATATTAATGCAAAGAACTATAGCATCGTGGTCAGAGATGGATGGATGCAACACAAAGGTTTTAATAGACTTTTTAGTTTTCAATATAAAATGATCTAGGCAAGAGCTTTGTCTAGTCGGAAGAGTATGGGAGGGTAGCATCCCATGGATAGAAAGCAAATCCAAGTAATCTTCAGAGTATTTTTCAGAGCTGTCTGAAGAAATATTAATATTTATATCACCAACAAGGATAATATTTGGAAATGAAGAAAGCGATTGTATGACAGTGTTTAGGAACGCCAAGAAAAGGGGGACATTAAGTTTAAAACAATATGGACGATATATGGCAACAATGACAGTGTGCGTTGAGATTTTTATTACTAAGCAGTTAGTTTCGGGAAATATTGGCTCTAGTACAGTACAAGATAAGGCGTTATTTATATAAACAACAACCCCGTTATTTTGGTTGTAATTATCTGTGGAATAATGAACATTATAGCCGTCTAATGCAGGTAAATTTTGTGGGATGGCCGATAATCGACATTCCATCAGTATTAAAAAATCAAAGTCCAATTTAATACGAGACAATAATACTTATAGCTTATCAAAATTACCCAATATGCTAAATATATTTTGACATAATAGCTTAATTTGATTATGAGGATGAGTTATGTGCGAGGAGACCTCCTCGGGGAGACAAGCTATATGGTTGGATATTTGAAAATTGTCTAAATTGTCTAATAAAACTGTAGGCTTGTATAGTTCATGAACTACGAAGTATAGGAATGTATTCCCGACACAGACCGACAGGAACTAGTTCGTCTTGTACGGTTTTAATAGTTCATAGTTCTTTTTAGTTCAGTAGGAACTAGGAACTGTCTGCATTGATAGTTCACCTGTCTTTTATTCAGTAGGAACGGTGCAAGAGGGACAAATAGCGATCTTTCGCTGCTTTTAGTACAAGTTCGAGTGGGATGCACGTTTGAACGTTGCCAGCTCGTTCTAAGTCTTCTCTAATTATGGTATCTACATTATGTATATATGTATGTAAGCTTCCAAAAAAGTAAGTGCTCATATGGTTTTGGTAAGTGTGGTAGGTATCTGTATGTATAATATCAACCTACGTGTACGAGTATATAAAATAGTTGTATGTATGTACCTAAATGCTGTAATATAATATTTTAAAAACACCGTTGTAACTAAAATTGTTGTTTTGTAAAATAAAGGATATTTAGTTAGAATGGCAGTCTTTAAACATGTAATTTAAGAAAGAAAATCAAATAGTACCGATTCCATACAAATTGTATTTTTAAATATTTAATACAGTGTACTATTGACCTCATAATACGAGAAGCCAGTAGCAGTTCTTGTGAATAAAATTACTAGTTTGTAGCGTCCGATCAAGGACAAGACGAACTAACTAACTAAAAGACCGACCTAGTTCAGTTTTGACCGATTGAACTAACTAGGATCGCTCCCTCTAACTGCCACTCATAGGCCCTATGATTCGAGTCAAAGCTTTTTTGAAGGACACTTTGGAGTTGGCTGCTGATGGCCTTGACTGCGCCACCGGAAGAAACTAGTCAAAGCAATTTCCTTTTGGAACTTAACTAGTAATTTAGTTAACACTTCGATAGCGCGTTCTATTTTGATCCCAACGCCATCTAGTGGCAAGGCGATGTTACTAATATTCTCGTACAACATAATATTATTTCGTTATGGAAGTAGTTGAATGAAATTTAGTATTGGTGCTACGTCCCGGCCCCTGCCGTGTCACGCTTGTTTCGCTTGTTCGCGTAGCGGTAGGAGGGATTCGTTCTATATTTATAATTCGAGCCACCTCGCATCAGTGTTAAATGTCCTAAGCTTAAAGAAAGTTCGATTGATCAAGAACTACCCTACGCAATTTTGAAACTAGTATATTAAAAGTCTTTTCCATAAGTCCTTCTTGGAAATTTGGACTTTCAAAACCTTTTTCTTCGATGATAACACTATTTTTGTATTCTAGCCCTTTAAGGCAAAACGCGAGGTGGCTCGAATTTTGTGACCGGGAGTATATTTATATCGTATTCCTTAACAAAGTCGACACTAGCGCTTTGTCGGCCGATGCTGTGACACGGTCGCTTCGCTCGTGTGCTGTTGTGGTCGCAAGGCACCGAATACGACTGAACTCGTTTGCTGCATCTATGTTTGCTCTGGGATTATATTTATGATAAATAATACTCAATAAATGTTATATCTGAAATTATACCACCGGTATATCAGATTGACAAGTGTTCTTCAATGGAAGTAGAAAAAGAGGAATATAAATCACTTACCCGGGATGCATGTACAAATACATGACAGAGGCGATGCTTCCGGTATCAGTTTTAGGATACCTGGTGTTATATTTAACCCAAGTTACATCATTGGAAATGCAGTGGCCAGCTGTCAACACCCAGTGGGGTGTGATAATGGATCCGGTGCATTTTAGAAACCAGAATCTGTTGAAAACCGCGCACACTGCTGGGAAATGACTCAAAGGCACTGGCTCTCCACCAAACAGCCGGCGAGTCGGTAACCCATTTTCAATCTTAACAGACAAAAACAAACAAGTGGAGTAATTTCACAAAAAATAATGAATTGGATTTAAAAAAACCTCAATAATACAATTATTATAGCGACTCTGTGATCAGCCACTGGCAGCTGTAAAGGTGCCTGGCTGAGTGAAGAAAAACTTTCATAGGTTTCTCACAGATGGCGCTACGGCAAAAAAGTCGTAAAAAATCAACATACAAAGATTTGCAACAAGGACACAGAAAAAAATCGTAAGGTCTCCTGGTTCCTTCCGTAGTTCAGTTGGGAGAGCGTCAAGGTACGCTGGAAGCGCTGGTTCAATTCTAGCCGGATTGAAGGAATTTTTGTTAGTGTTCGAACTTTATTAATAATTATAAACAAAAAAAGACAAAACATTTACCAGCCTCAAAATTGAGTATAAAAGCGCAGGTTAGTTGTATCCGTAGCCTGTAATTGCATTGCGCCATTTTGTGAAGATCAATTTGAGCTACAACTTAGAGTTGGTGTCGCGGAACCTACTCGTAAAAAATCTGTTTGTATACGAAAAGAAATGTTTAATACCATAACTATATTCCGAAAGAATGCGTGCCTGTGCTGGTAACCAAGAACTTCGGTCAGGAGAAGCAGGAAAATTAACACTACTCCTTGTGTTTGCATTGGTCATCGTATCTTTGGCGTTTCTATGATAAAATCAGTTTCTGTAATAAGTAAAAGTTCCAGTTTATCCACCTGTTTTGTCTTTACTTTACTCAATTCGGCTGTATCGGCTGACTGATGATTTATCAAGAAATAGTAAAGCTGTTGTAGATAAGTATAATTATTATTCACTTCACTTTTCCAACTTTACTTCTTTTTTTACTTCGTCTGATTGTCCGAAATGTCCAACGACTTGACAATTACAGTATTTCTATTTCTATTTCCTTAATGGCAGCCACTAGGCTTGGGCCAGTGTCAATTACTGTATCTACATCTTTTTCCATCCTCTAAGATCTACATTTTTATTTCTATTATCTTTGATTGCGTCAAGGAGAACCTTTATATTTTTGCTTATAAACCTGAATATCGAAAAAGTTTCACAACTTTTGAAAATTTTGTGAGGTCCTCAACCTGGACCAAGCAAGCGTGGTGAATTATGGCCTAAACATTATAGGCAGTAGAATAATAATGAATTTCAAATGAAAAGCCCTTTCCCCCATCACCGCTTTTGATAAAACATAAAACTGATGTTCTGATGGAAAAAAAATCTCCGTCAAAAGTTGTCAATGTCAATTCTGCCAATGTCTCAGTAGCACGGGAAGCCATTCCCTTACAGTAGCTATATTTCGATGGAGCCATAATATTTAAAAGAAGAAGAAGCTATTAACGAAACTTATTAATATATACGGATATAACAAAGAAGGAGATAAATATAAAGCTTTACAGTTATACAGAAGAAACATATTCTTTTCATCAAAAGTGTAAAGAAACGATGACCAATGCAAGCACAAAGAATATTATTGATTCTCCTGTCTCTCCTTTCGGAAACTTTTAGCTTGCAGCATAGATATGTATTCTACCGGAGTATGGTTACGGTAATATTTTTCACGGTGATATACAATGCGACTGGAGCTTATTTTCTTTGAAAAGCTATTAAAAATAAAAGTGGAATCCTACTGTAGGTATTGGTTGAAAGCTGTATGACATGTACATTGCCACACTTCCATTCATGCGTTCACCATATCTGCCCGAGACTTGTCCGTAGTTCCCTGTGGCGCTCATCTTTACAAAATGATGCTAGTCTTCTTATGCTATTCATTTCACACTACAGATAAAACCACGGATGTAAAAAATAATGGAAGGGCCTTAAGTCTCGATCACTATCAGAACTGATGTCACTAAAATTCATAATATCATAAGTTGAAACAATATCCGCCTCAGTGGCCGAACGGTTACCACTATAGAAATGTTTGCATGGCCTACATTTAATTATTTCGTGAGTTTGGGTGTAATTTGTGGTTGTCTATGTGTGTGTCCATGGCACTTGCGACTCAGGGTTTCCCTAGCGCGAGGCTGTGTTGTGTGTGCTTTATTATTTATTTATATGAAATCTTGATAAAGATTGGTCATAGTTTCTAATTTAAAAAGATGTAACAAATAATCTCAGTACAGAGTACTAAAAAACCGACCTGAAAATACGTGGAATTACATCTATTTGCCAAGTTTTATTGAAATCGGTTACCGGAAAGTGCGCAAACCCGGATTCATCCCCTAGTTCGCCACTATACGGGACTTGACACAGGAGATAATAAAAATCGGTTCTCACTACTCAAAGTATTTTGTGAGAGAAAAACGCCTTGAATTGGAGAATAGCAAAATCAATCATTAAAATAATTGCTCCTTATAATAAAATTTAGGCGCTATTTATGAAAATGAATCTTCATACGTGAACAGCCACCCTTAGGGATGAGTGGTGATAATTTTCTTCAAAATTAAATGGGACCCCTATGAAGGTACCCTCTGTCCAACAAAAAAAGAATCCTCAAAATCGGTTCACAAATACCGGAGTTATCGCGTAATATACATCCAAAAAAATCTCCTCCTTTTCTAAAAGTCGGTTAATTATTGACTGTTGATGTAATTTACACTTTACCCTGTTGGCATATCGTTGAAAGTTCGGTATTATATTGCAAATTACGATGTTTTGATTTTATATTTAAATTTCATTCAATGCGCTGCCATCTAGCGGCAATAGCTGAAAGATGTCGAACGATTTGCGCATATTAATGTTCTTAGAAAAAAAGTAGCCTATATTGCTGCGGTATAAGGTTTAATTTCGTTTCTTATACCAAAAAATCTGTAACAGAAAATTTAAAGTTTATAAAAATTAAGTAAAATAAGGCTTAACGATGATATGAAATACCACCATAGACAATTTTATAGGTGCCACTGTCAATTTAGTAGGTACTCAAAAGTAGCGAAATAACGCTTTTTCTACGATTTTCGAGATTTTGCGCATGCTAATTGACACGACCATAAAGTACGAAGCGAAAATGGCAGACCGAGCTCAAGTATGTAGAACTCCGCGTACTGTTGGCACACGTGTCATGTCCACTAAGCAATTCTACTGTATTTATTGTCCTGTGGATAATACATATAAAGAGTAATACTTTACATGTTAAGATCGAAGATGAAACGCCGACGCGGCGCGTGTTTGGTGGCGATCGAATGACCCTAAGCAACTACCCCGCTGTGTGTGCACTTCTCGATCGATTTTGGAATTTGAAATGCTCGGGATCCATCATCTCAAAGAATTGGGTGCTCACGGCAGCCCATTGCGTCTCCAATAAAGTGGCCCTTATCAAGTACAACACCATTCATCTAAAATCCAAAGAGGGATCAATCGCCACTGTCTTGTATCTGTATCGGCATCCCAAGTAAGTATTTTCTGGAGAAGACAAATGAAAATTTGCATTTAAATTCGAGATTCCAAAGGTTCTGCTAAGCTTACGAGTCCTTGTTTCTGTCTAAACTTCTTACATATGTATCTTTTAACTGTTCAGCTTTCAAGTGTTAGAAGAAGACGAAGGTCGTGGAGTGGACGTGACCGTGCTGCGTAACGATGTGGGTCTAGTTCGCACCAAGCAAACCATGACACTGAACACCGAGCTGCCGATGGACCCCATTGCGGCCATGCTACTATACGCACCTTACGATATGAAGAATCAAGAAATTGAGGTATAGAATATTCTCCTTGACCATTGCAGATAACATTTTCACAGCGTCTGTGGTGCATACCGGTTTTCGTGTTGTCACCATCCCAGAGGATAGGTCAGTATAGGAACTAACTTTTGTATATTGTCTCTCTGGGTGTTTATGGTACCGTCGTCGTTTCCGATTTCCATAAAACAAGTGCTTTAACCACTTACTTTGGGATCACAGCAACAATGTGATGTTGTCTAATATGTGTATATTTTGGAGCTAAGCGAATCATATTTCGTTTTCTAGTTCGTATTTTGGACACTTAATAGTAGTTTTATATTATTTATTATTTAAAATTCGTGTGTGGGTTCATCATTAAAAAACATCACACGAGTGTTTTAATGCTTTATTATGTACAGTTACATACACTGCTTTATCAATACACATATTATAAGCTCTCTATGATGTATTCAGGAACCGCGTGTTACGACTGGCGAATAGAATAGAATAGAATTAATTTCATTTGTTGTGGCGGCAAATATAAACTTTTCTCACGCATGTCACACAGCCGTAGTTTTTATTTAATTCATAGACAAAGTAGAGGCGGCCCTAAATATCATATCGTTCGATATCAAGTAACGTGTGAAATTTGTCAAAATTGTTTGCTATTGACATTTCATTTCGAATAAAACTTCATCTCGACTGATATTAGAATTGAGGTCAAAATCAAATTGTTTCGTTTTTCAGAGATGTTCGAAATTTGAATGCAATAATAAAATCGATGAAGCAATAATAACATTTTCACAAATGAGAAATTTGCTCTAACAAAACAGTTTATCCTTATGCTGGTCGTAATTTGCAGTTTTTGAACACATCGTAAAGGGTTTATGATATGTGTGTAGATAAATGATGCTAATGACCACGAGGATGAGCTTTACGAAATTAAAATCGTCCAGGACGTGTATACACTTAACAAATTTGATAATTATGTCGACGCAAAAGCCCTTTGATGAAATTCCATGATGCCTAATGTAGGCAAACGTTATCCAGAATCCAGCCATATCGAATCTTGATCGTTCGATATTTGTATTAATAATTATAACGAAACTAGTGGAGTAATTTCACAAAAATAATTAAACATCATAATGGTCAAACATCGTGTCATTCTATAAACATAAAAATTACCAATACTAAAGCGACATCTGTAGTCAGCTGCTGGTAGCTGTAAAGGTGCCTGGTTAAGGGAAGAAAACCTTCCATAGATTTCTCACAGATGGCACTACGGCAAAAGTTGTTAAGAAGCAAAAACACAGATCTGCAAAAAGCACATAAAAAAATTCGTAAGGTCCTTAGTTTTCGATCTTCGTATTAATAATTATTATTAGAAACTAATGGAGTAATTTCATAAAAGTCATATTATAAATACAAGTTTATGCACAGGGATACAACAAACTTAATGTCTACACTGGGTAGGCTCCCGCCTTCAGCGGACAAGCGAAGGCGATTTGTGGATCGAGTGTAAATGCGTCTTTAGAAGAAAGCCACGCACAGTGGTGCATTGGCGAAAAAAAGTATTTTTTATGAACATTTATCTAAATAAATTTTACATTATATACAAACGACAGTATACACTCCATAGATACAAAATGTATAAAAACAAATTTCTAATAGTTGTATGAATATACGAGATTGAACAAATCCGACGCAGACATAACCATTTTTGCGCAAATACTTCTGGATTTTCAAGGTTAATTTTAACTTAAATTGAATAGAAATTTACGATAATTGTATTTTTTATAATACCTGGAAATGTAATCTTGTCGTAATAGTGAAAGAATTTTATCTTCTTAATGTTTTTCATTTTCGTTTTAAAATGCCCAATTTAAGACCAGTATTTTGTAAATTCGAAGAAATCTTTTCACCGCCGTCGACCGCTGTTTACTTATATCACTTAATCGATTTATTAGTATATTTTAGCTGCTGCAACAACAAAAAAAAAACTACCTTGGATGAGAGAACACATTAACTAACTGCTCTCAAAGCCAACGATAACGATATAATCAAATCGCCACATCCGTAGAACAAAGGTCTATGTGTAAGACTATACTTGTTCTCAGGACATAGTACATTTCGTTCGTTCTTCTTCGCTGTGGATGTCAGATCGACCTTTGTTCGATTTTATATTTCCGAAACGAAGTAAGATATATAAATTCTCAAAATACCTTTACATAGGACCTAGTTTGAATAACGAAATTGTTCTCGAAACGTACTTATTCTCTTTTCGCTATATAATCACTTCGGACTCTGTTCTTCGGATGAGTCGAAATATTGAGATAATTATTTGTAACGAAATATTTTTTCATTTGTAATCACAAAAATATTTATTTCATCCTTAAATACCCCAAAAAACGGTAGTCTTGTTTTGATAGCAGTAGAGTTACTTGTGAAAGAGTTCGTCCAGGGAAGTACTGCCACCTTATCTATTGCTGCCGCCAAGCAGTAATGTGAGCATTATTGTTTTCCGGTTTGGAAGGGTAAGGGCGCTGGTGAAATTACAGGCGCAGACTTGTCAACTTATGATCTCATCTTTGCGATTCAAAGCTCTGAGTGGCACTGCAACTGTTATGGACAGGCGTGGCGTGTAGCTTACCATCAGACACATGACTTGTCCGTCCCGTCACTTAATATTATAAAAAAATACTATAAAAGCCATTGACTTACAATTATATGGACGTCGGGTCCGCGCTAAAAAGTGTCCGAACTTATTGGGCGTTAAAATCGTATACAGATCGTCATTCACGCTCTAGTCTTCGTTTGTTCGACTGACAGCGAAGCAAGCAAAATTAGACAGTACTGCGATGACATTACAATTTAAATTCAACGTTTTAGCTTTTTCATATTCCTTGACATATCACTAAGTTTAAATAGGTTGACTTGGGACATTTTTTTCGTGGTTTTTGTATTAGACCCGTTGTCCATTTATTTGTAAGTCAATGGCGGTGCCATACAAAGTGCACCACTGTACTACGTACAGCTGTGTGACAGATAACAGGTTGACGATAATTGTATTTTGTCTCATTCGCAGGTACTGGGTTTCGGACGTACAGACAAATCCGATAGCAGTTTAGGTGAGGAACTATACGGAGTCAAATTGAAGCTGGTAGGATGTGATCGCTCCACGTGGACATTTTGCATGTGTGGGACGTCTGTAGGCCTTAGTGGTGGAAGGGGTGTCTGCTCAGGAGACTCTGGAGGACCAATGACGTATAACGGATCCCAGGTTAATGCTTTACGTATGTTCGAATGTGGTAAAATGCGTGTCTGTCGAGAAAATGGCTTGGATAAAATTATCTCCAATGGAAGCGCCTTAAGCGTCGTTTACTATCAGAACCGCTGTCTCCAGAAACTCACACATTGATAACGATTGGTCGTAATTTCTAATTTAATGAGAAATAACAAATTCTGGACTGTTAATATAATTTAAACTTTACCCCGTTTGACATATCGTTGAAAATTCAATACCATTAATACCTATTATTGCAAGTTACGACGTTTTGATTTCACATTGTCACTTCAATCAATAACTACTGTCACACAGACATATTAATTAAACTAACGGATAACTCACGAATTACGTCGAATTTTTTTGATCACGTATTTATATCGAAAAATTTAGTGTGCTACATAATTGATTTTAATTGGAATGAAATAATGAGGGTAGTTGCTCGCCGCTGCCGCAGCCGTCTTACCCGCGCTCGTGTTCAGGACTTTGGCGCTTGAGTCACTGATTCAGGACCACCGACGGGTGCGAAATATGCGTCTTAAATACCTGTTTTATCCGTTAGTGTTGTGGGTACACCGTAATACAATGCCACAAACCGTCATGCATGAGATACATCCTCAACTTCAATTTCCATATCGGATAATTTTGCCTACTGTTTAACAGTATCCCAGCAAGAGAATGTAGACTTGATCCTTTATTGTGATCAGACATCTCCAACTTTGACTTTCATGACAGAATGAGACTTTAAAAAAAGCCAACTTATTTGAAGGTCTTTGGCTGTCGCGCGTTGGTGAAGGTTTCTGATCCACTGAGAATGAAGTTGGATCCAAATGACTCGCTGTATATTTTTGTCGGGTATTCAGACGACCAAATATTGTGTTTTGCGATACAAATAATTCAAGAAGATTAGTTGAAGGCTGCCTTTCCACCAGACATATGCGACGTAGCGAGGCGGTGTGCGAGGAAAAAATCCACCAATAAGATTACTTCATTTTCCTAGTCTCGCTTAGCGCAGCTCCAACGGAAAAGGGTTAGCGGAGCTAAGGATTTGTACATACAAAATAGCGAGAGATGTGTGCGAGGGATGCGGGCTACTGAAAGTATGTAAAACGTGGCTAAGTGACAAAAGGTCAAATAACCATTATAAATAGCAAAAAATAGGGAACAAAATTCTCTTTTAAAAACCGTTAAAATTAGTTAACGTGTTCGACCTAACCCAACGGTGCATAATTTAAATATCATCAAACAATTTCAAGATTCTAAAACTGGGCTGTGTTTTTTTGTGATATTTCATATATTTTTATCACTTATTTACAATATTTTGTCACTGCGCCGCGTTATAGTGGACGGCAGACTGACTGACCTGACACATCGCCACCGCTCACCCCACTACACCGTACCCGCCCGCGCATAGCTGCAAAGAATCCGTAACCCATCCTCGCATTGCGCCGCTGCACATCCTCTCACCACCTCGTACATCTCTGGTGGGAAGGCAGCCAAAGGACGAGATGTGGTGTTCTTGGAGGTCTTTCACTTGTAGTCTTAATTTTTATTCATAGAACGACGTTACGAGTATATCACTTCAATAAAAATTTCTCACAATAAACACCATATTTATTGTTTACTAGATTTTACTACAGTTAAAACTAACTGTTGTGAACTTATCACCCTGCCTCAACTTTATTCGCTATATCGAATGCTTGGTAAAAAATGTTGCTAAAAATTGGGCATCGTTTTCAAGGTCAGGTGGTACACTCACACCAGAACAGTTTTCAGGGTGGTATCACTCACACCACACTTATCGACATGAGATCGGATTAAGCCGGTTAGAATAATCTTTACGTCCATGTAGGTAATAAGACTTAAAAAGACGTGACGCGTCACAGCAGTAGAGCTCCTTGTGACAGAGTTCATCCAGGTAAGTACTGCCATCTTACCTGTGCCGTTAACACACGTTGCACTGCAGGATGTATGTAAATGCAAGTAGGACGATGCAAGGAGATAGAGAGATGCAAATTGCAATGCAAATGATTGGAGTATTATTAAATAATGTAAATAAAACGACCGTGTCCGAACGAGACAATAATAACACTCATTTATTGCAAAATATACATCGATCAGCGTGGTGTTGCAGTAAGCATAAATCGAATACATATGATATCGTGCGGGTTTACTTGTGCATATTAAAATAATAAAATGTAAATCATAAAAATGTACGGTTTCACTCGTACATTACCTATTTCTGCCGCCAAGCAGTAGGTGCTGTGAGCATTATTACTGCGTTCCGATTTGGAAGGGTAAGGGTGCTGGCGAAATTACAGGCACATGAGACTTGGCAACTTATGTCTCAAGGTTATGACGGGCACAGTGGCAGTGCCAAAAGATATTTGCGATTAACAACTCTGCGTGCCACTGCAACTGTTATGGATAGGCGTGTCGCTTACCACCAGGCGCACGACTTGTTTGTCCCGTCACTTGGCATTAATTCGATTTTGATGAGTGATGATACCCTTAGTTCTTTATGGGTTTTGTATAGGGTGTTACCATCACCTCTGGGACGACCCACCTCACCTCGACCCAGTACCAGTTAGTTGTCTCGTACGCGATGGAGCGAAAAGCAAAGAGACTAGGCATTGACTCTCTTGTGGAATCGAAGCTCCTAAATCTGGAACATCGTTGAAAAGTTGTAGAAGGATGGACGAAGGGGCATGTCGATTTTCCATCGAATACAGTTTGTAAGAATGCGTAAGAACTTTAGCATTTACTTCCACCCTCACCGTCCTTTCTTCATTTCACTAGAAAGTCCGGGATATGCATCCTTATGCCGTTGACTTACCATATACTTGCATGAAGAGCTTTTAAACCAACTTAAAGCTATTCAAAGCCAAAGTAAATAGATGTTTATTAGATAAACACCTAACATCGTTGCCTAATTGTCGTTTAATATCATGTTGTGGTAAAGTCTAATTTATATTTTAAAAAAGACAGGCTTCTTTTCAAAAAAACTTGCTTACTGTTACGCCACTTGATTGGTTTTCTCTGCAGATCGGAGTAACTTCCATGGGTCCAATAGAGTGTGCTACAAGGACCACACCAGGGCCCACAGCTATCAGTGTTTTCACCTCGCTGCACGAGTACGCTTCCCTAATATCTCACACCATCGACGACACGGAGAATGCTCTTAAGATGACCCGTGTTCCAGGTGCAGCCAACAGATTGATTTCACATTATGGCGTAGTTTTGTTTATATTGTTCTTTATTAACTTTGTGTAACTATGATTATATTTGGTATTTATTCGTTCTTGAATTTATGTTTTTTTCTAAAACTTATTGCTAGGTCTCAAATCTAATGCGATATTTTTGTGATTATTTTCCATAAAATTTATTATGGTCTCTATAAACCAAAGTTATTAGATAAAAATTATATAACAATCACATTCCTTTGTTTCCTTGAATTTATCAGTTAAAATATCGTTTGTGGGTCCAGATACAGATCAAACCAACTGAATTAAAATTAGTCTAATTGAATAAGCAATTTAGTCGAAACGGTCTGTGTTTAGTTTTTACCTGTCTTTATTTCCAGTCAGTCCAATACATAATAGCAGTTCGTTAACAAATTGTAGACACAATTTATTAAAATTACTTGAATTAATTTATTTCAGTTGATTGTAAACATGGAGTATATAACCAGAAATAGAGAC